GGTTGGAAATCATTTTCCTTTAGAATCTGAAATACTTCACTCCATGCTCTTCTTGACTTTGTTTATGCTGAAAAGTCTGTTGTGATTCTGATAGATTTTCCTTTATAGCTGATCTGTCTTTTCTTTCTGACAGCTTTTAATATTCTATTCTTATTTGGATTTCTGGGATGGTAATTATTATATATCTGAGTGTAGTTTAATTTTGGTTATGACTATTTGGAGTTCTATATGCTTCACTGATCGTGATATCAGTTTCCATTCTCATGTTTGAGAAATTTCCAGCTATTATTTCTCTAAATATTCTCTTGACATCCTTTGTTTTGTTCCCTTCTTTTTAATTTATCCCTATCAATCCTATGTTGTTTCTCTTTGCATAATCTTGCACCTGTTGAATTATTTCCTGATTCCTTGTTATTGTTCATTCAGGGATTCTACCTTTTTGTTTAGTTCCTCCAATTTTTTAACTATGTCTTCTTTAGACTATGATAAAAATTAGAAAGCATCTCTTTCATTTCTTTTATCATTTCTTCTTTTACCTGGGAGATTATTTCTACTTTGAATTCCTTTAAAGCTTTCTGGAGTTGTTTCTTTATTTCGGTTGCTATAATTTCACGTATTTCAGGTGTATGGCATATGTTTCCTTCTATGTACATAGCTCCTAAGGTTTCTTTGGATGGATTTAAAGTGTCTTTAGTCTGTTTTGAAATGGTTTGCTCTGTATAAGCTTATAAATGTTAAGTTGTTAACAAGCATCTCTAGGAACATATTTTTGAGTCTTAGTTGCAAAGTCTCTTAGAGCCACTAACAGAAAATACCAAAGAAAGAAGATTCTTCATCTCCAAATGTAACAAAAGGTCTTAGATTTTGAAAAACAAAAGTTGCCAGGCATCGCTCAAATTTCTTATCTCAGCAAAGCACTTCTAAATACAGGGAAGAGTCCAGACTGCTGTACTTGGATAACAGTGAAGTATTTCAGCTAGAAAACCTCTTCATTCCAGCAGAAAAGATGCACTTATGGCATCATTTTAGTGTTAACTTATGTTGGAAAGTGTAGAATGTGGGCATGCATGCACACACACATTCTCTCTCTCTCTCTCTCTCTCTCTCTCTCTCTCTCTCTCTCTCTCTTACTTGCTATTTGTTTTCTTCTTTGTCAGACTGTTTACTCTCCTCTAGACAAAAGTTTTATTTTCCTTGTAATTGAAATTAATTTCTTATTATTCACGTTTCCCTTCAAAATGTCAATTTCAAAATTTTCTACTACTCTTCTGAAACAATTGCTTTCTTTAAAGCAAATCACAATATTTACTGAAAAGTCTTTGTATGTGATAGACTGATATTCAAAGAAAAGGCAAAGATCTTCAAAGTGACACATGCAGAAGGTGATTGATAAATAGCCTAGGTCATACTAAAACCCCTGTGCCTCTCTAAACTTGAAAAACTAAGTAACTATCAAAACCCATATGAGAATTTTTATATAAATTGCTGCAGTTGAAGTTCAGATAATATTAAATGAAAGCAAACTAAAATATGTTGTAACGTAAAAAATTTAAATTGGCAGTGGATATACTTGGTAGTAGTGGTCCTCACCAATTCACCACAATGAATGTATTTAATATGTATCACAAATATATGCTAATAAAACATTGTAAAAAGAAAGGAATAAAATAATACCTTCAAATATTGTTATACAGATAACTAGGATAATATCTGTAAAATCTTAGAACAAAATTTATCATGTGTTAAATGCTATGAAAGGTCACTAATAAAATATCATCTAATTTCCAATGCTGAACTGTTCAAAATCAACACTGGATAACTGTGATTTGGTTTTAAAGGGAACATCAGTATGTTGCTCTTGTACTATTGTGCTATTAAAATAGGTCCAGAAACCTGAATTTCTTTAATTCAGAATTAAAGGTAGTAATCATTCTCACTATCAAAAATTAACAGACAGAGCTTTGCAACTGTGCAAAGCTGGAGAAGCTGGAAATTGTTCCTCTTGAAATGTTCTGCAGGGAACCAGAAGCAAGATGACCAGGCCCTCCTGACACTAGGAGAAAGACATGTTCTACAAAGTGACATCACTCGACCAAGAGGTCTGCACCCCTTTCCATCCCTCACCTTCATCCTTAAACCAGATCAAGGAAAATCTGAAAATTCTACATTGTGCTCTCCATGGCCAAGGAAGTATAAAAAATAAACCAAAAATGAGCAAAGATGGCAGAAAGCCATCATTTTTTGAGGGAGAATGACACTGTTCCAATATCAGTAATGAGAAAACTAAAGAAAGATACATTGGCTGTAGAAGAATTGGTTTTTAAAAATGCTATTAAAGGACAAGTAAGAATGGAGAGCATAGCCATGAATTAAATAAGAACATTTTTTAAAAACTTTAGCAACAACTGTGCAGTTGGGTTTTTAAAGTAGTATTTGCACACCTGAAGTGACTGTGGAGAAGTGTGTATTTACAGCCCAAGTCTAAACAGAGCAAGCCCTGGGCAAGCAAAGTTTTCCTGAAGCTTAACAATTTCTGTCCTCTGAGCTAAACTAAAGGTGTTTGCATACCATATTCAAGATGAGCCTTGGATTTGCATCGCAAAAAAAAAAAAAAAAAAAAAAAAAATCGTATTGTAACAGAGAGAAATTGACAGATTATTCACAAATGAATAACCAAAAAACCACTCATTGACTCAAGAAAATATACGTAAGTACCCAGTGTTCAAAGCACTCAGGCAAAATGAGAAGCAGAGATGATGCTGTAGAAGACGGTCACCAAACCATTTATGTCTCTGTGTCTTTCCTCCTCCTCGAAGAGAACATCAGCAATTTACAACCAAGCATTCTCACAGGTTTCCTCAGTTTTCTGAAGCAAAAGAAACTTTGTGATAAACTACAAGTATTTAAACTCCATTAAATGCCCATTAAATCCATGAAAGATGATACAAATCATACATATCTTAGTTATAGTACTATGTATATTGTTTCTCAAAGAAAAAGACTTGTGATTGCTATAAAAATAAAGTGTTGACATAAAAAATAAAATCTTGTTTGTGAGAATATGAAACCAAATGCAGGAAAACAACTTAACTTTCTGATAAAAATCAGTAAAAAAAAATAAAACACCTAATGGGTAAAACTGAGATGTACTTGTACTGAACCTATAGTGTTCAATTTGATACACAATATAATGTTTTTATACTAATATAATTACCTTCATCTTGCATTTTATTAAATATTCTCAATGGCTTACAAAGATAATTACTCTTTTTGTTTCATCAGCAAAGAAACTGATGACCAAGGAGAATGTATAATACGTTCAGGATGGAAAAGTAGTAAATCAAGTAACCTTCAGGATTTTGAGTTCCATCTGGAAGCCCTGTGATAAGAATCTTAAATGTCTCCCAAAGGCCCATGGACTCAATTCATGGTAACCAACCTTTGGCACTACGGTAAGTCTCTAGGAAGTGAGGCATAGTGAAAGTTAAATCATTGGAATGGAGCCCACAAAGAGAATGTGGAGACCCTTCCACATCCCTTTTCTTTGCTTTGTGTTCTTCATGAAGTAAACACAGTCCTTTCCATATTCTCACACCACGGTACTCTGTGCTGTCATAGGTGCAAATAATGTAGTCAAACAACTATGCCAACAGTTCTGAAAGTGAATATATATATATATATATATATATATATATATATATATGAATGACAGAGAGAAGTTATGAATGTTCATTTGTATTCTGCTATTGTTCATCTGTTTATCTGCTAGAAACAAAATGCTTCAAGAGAAAATGATGAAAACAAAATAATTTTCAAGTATAAATGAACTGATTATCACAGATTTCCTTGATTTTCTAGAGGCTTCTGCATGTTAGTATCCCCAAGCCATGCGTTTATCGGTGATCTTTTAGATTGGGTCCTACAGCTTGCCTGAGGCTCTCAGTAATTCACCCCAACATTATCCGACAGAACCCAATAGGTTGGATAACACACATGATAGACAGGCTTCAGTTTGATACTCCTGTTACAAGCAAAACACACTGTATGTAGTGACAGTTTGTGCCCATGAAATTAATGACCGAAATACAACCTGCTCACGTTGCAGATCTATCTTAAATCAGAATATGTAACATGGGGTCAGACTCCTTTACTTTGTTGCACACATCCATACCCTATTTTGACTTCACAAAACGTTTTTGAATAACTACTTATATTTTGATTACTTTTTTGAATAAATACTTATATTTTGTTCCTTTTTACCTTCTGTTATTTTCTCTTAATTCTTTGTTGGATAGAAAAGAAAAAAATATAAATGATATTACTAAATGAGATTTTTAACTATAGTTGTTCATATCAACTTCATTATCCAAATTTACTATATAACAATCTTAACATCACAACACATTATGCTAGAGAGGATATATGATTGCAAATGGATCTCTTAAAACATGAGAAGCAAAGAAGATGGAGTGCTGTGCAAATGCTGGCAATGTGGTCTGATTCTATTTTTATGGTTGTACCCAACACTTATTGTCTAACTTAATTTCGGGGAATTGTTTCCCAAGGCATATTTCATGCAACAAAATGAAATAACCAAGACCTATGCCCAACCCACAGGGGAAACATGACATCATTCACTATATTCTCAGGATTAATTTATATTTCACATTTATTTATCCTTGATGCCTGCTACTATTTGTCCTCTAGAAGTGTCGGTGGTAGTAAAATTTAGAGCATATGAACATAACAGTAAGCCCTCCTATCATTAATAACTAACATTGTTGAGAGCTCTCTCTTTGTTTTGTGTTCTATCTCTTGCTGTAAGTCATATAGAACCCTGTTATTCACTGAATTTATGAAGAATAAATCCTTTGCCCTTCTTTATCCATGAGAAAAATGGAAGTTTAATGGCAATGGTAGTTAAGGTAATACTAGCTATTAGAACAAATGACCCCTCCATCTTGCTGGCTAAAATAATGAAATCCTTTCCTTTCTCTTACCCACAATTCAAGGAGAGTGCTGAGAACAAGGTCTTCAGGCAGTGAGTCAAAGCTGAGGCTCTGCAGTGCCGTGAATCCATAGTGTTCATATTTGACTTCCAATATCTCTGTGCAAGAGATAGGAAAAAGACAGGTGGGGTGACACAGCTACTTCTGAATCCCATCAGCCTAAAAATAGCATTCATTCTCTGATTCCGTCCCTGAGAACTGGTAACTTGCCTCTTGAAAAATTGAATCCGTGTCCTGTAAACCTCTCCATGAAATGGACACAAGAGATTTTTGGTGAATGGCTGGCCCATCTTTGTTAAAGTTTGTGTATTGCTTTCCTAAGAGTACCCTGCATAAGGAATGAAGTTAGAATTTATATCCAAGTTTGAATCCAGATTTAAATTCCTTCTCAAACACTGTATTTAAGAAAATAAGGCTTGCTGTTGGGAGCATTGTCTAGTGATCTCCACTTAAGCCTTTATTACTGTAGGGGTACACACAGCATAGTCAAAGTACACAAGCTATTTCTTTACAAAGGTTTAATATGGGATGTGATTTCTCCCCATAAAAATGTTTCCACTGGTCACATTTAAGCTCACCAGAATAAAAAATCCATTTGCCTCTTACTGTGTAACGGTAATAGAAAATGTGAGAACTCTATGAAGATAAGTACAGAAATGGGAAAGATAAGAACATCTCTCTCCTTCATGTTACGCCAAAACACTGACAGAATTTTCTACCTACATTGCAGCCCAATTAAGCTTCAGCTTCTCTAAAATTGTAAACAAAATAACATTGTTACATAGCTTTTTAATTCAAAGGTCTAGTTTTATTTTCATTCATTTAATAATGTCACTCATTAACAGATCAGGCTACTGAGCTGATAGTCCTACTGAAAACAAACTATAAGAAGAATGTTTCTATCTTTCCAACCTTTCTATCAGTGATAATATAATTTCTGAACCAAACGTACAAAGGATGTATTCATTTAAAATTCAAATGGAAAGGTCAAAAAGAAGACAAGAAATAACTCAATGTTATTCTTTCAAATATGAAAATGGAGATAAATAGAACAAAATTATAGAGAGCAAATTAGCCTTTTTGACTATTAATGTTAATGTGTAGTCATCAATTATATTTAATAAACACTTGTTGAACATTAAGTACACATATGCACTGTGTTAGCATCCACAAATATGAAGGCTAGATCATGTTTTTCTTTGAGGCATTTGCAGTATAGCTAAGAAAACTATGGATAGTGATATTTCAAAAAACAAAATGAACATGCATGCACTAATATAGCCTCTCTCTCTCTCTCTCTCTCTTTTATTTTGGTTTTGCTTGTTTGTTTGTTTGTTTTGTTTTGTTTTGTCTTTTTTTCAGTACCAGGAATTGAACTCATGAGCTCTCGCTTGCCAGGCAGGTGTTTATACTGCTGAGCTAAATTCTCAGCAGTATACTGAGAATACTGCTGGTCCAGCTCTTCTCTCTTTCTAATGCTTTTTTTAATTTTAAAAAAGTGAAACAGAAAGAAAGGATAGAAATAATACAGAATTTTAAAACCAACAGTGAGAAATCGACACTAGTTAATATACTGCATATCGTTATCTTATAAATAGTTGTTCAAGTTACAAGACCTAGTAATAAAAAATGATCAAACAATGATATTATAAACTATTATTTTTGATAACTAACAGAGAACTAGTAGTATAGTTATCTAGCATGCATGTGCACCCATCATTAGAGCGGCACAATTTGTAATAGCTAAATCTTGGAAACAACCAAAATGTACGTCAACCACAGAATAGATGAAAGGATATGGTATTTGTATACAATAGAATATTACTCAGCTATAAAAAGGATAATGTTGAGCGTTTTATAAGTAGATGGAAGCAACTTGAGACTATACTCATAAGTGAAATAAACACAGCTCTTCTTACAGCTCATTAGTGACCAAATGAGGAGGAATTTTTATGAATTTTATAGAGGTCTAAAAGAGAACAGTTAAACTTGATCCACTGAATCAAGATGAAGCCCTTTAACAAACTGTGTTTTGGCCATGCGATTGTAGCAGGCTCCCAACCTTCAATGGTCCCATTGTTCCTACCTTGATATGAGTCCAGAGGGAGCTATATATGTACAAGACAGTGACAAATCAGTAGTTCAAGTACCAATTATTAAAATCAATCAATTGTTCATAATTTTTAATAGGTGACTACAACATATCTGAGTGGTAATGCTTAACTAAGATGACAAAAGAGACCTTTGTATAGCTTTAAAGTCTCCTTTCACCAGCAGCAAGATGCTGAGCCCAAAATAATAAGAAATCCAAAATACAGAAGCAATTTTGGGAGACTAAGAGAATTCACCATCCCCAAGTATCAGGGGAGCTCTGTTCCTCTCATGATGTAAGAGGAGGGAAAGCTGGGGAATGGCTCATGATGTGAGCTGTGGGAAAGAGGACAGGGTTGTATCGTGGGCTCTGCACCATGCATACACCATGTTGTGGAATCTTACCAAGTAGCTCCCACATGCAGCGGGATAAGCAAAACACAAGTGAGAAGAGCAAAGCACGAGCCAACAAAGGAGAACTTTCCTGCAGGTAAAATGCAGCACTCCTCCTTGCTTTAGAAAGTGTGGTTGAGAAACCAGCAATAACTTGCTTTTCAAACTTGCATCACAACACACTGACATGAAAAGCAAGACATGAAATGTGTTTTTAGGGAAAAGACAACTCTCCTTTGGGAAGGTACAGGGTGCCTAGTGGGGCTGGGAGAGTCTGATGAGGCCCTAAATCTTCATCTTTCACTATTTAATAAACTTAGAAAACTAGTGATAGCTGCAACAAGTGACCAGGAGCACTAGTCTGGGAGATGTGTAATTTGTCAATTATTCTCAAAGGAAGCTGAGAAGAAAGCAGATGGTGTAAGACACACACCTGGTGCTTACATCTTCAAATCCTCCCAACAAATTATACACTTCAGATAATTTACAGTTTCTCCTGGATTTCCATTGTTTTGTATCTTTCCAGACATTTTTAAGCGCTTTGAGTCTCCTAATATGGGACTTACAAATTTTTGTAGGTCTGTTATGGTCCATTGGTATTGTCCATATAGGTGGTAGTACCATTAATTTGAAAGAGCACAAGAAAATATTAATTCAGAAACTCAGCTGGGTGGGGTGACACAACCCCAGCACTGTGGAAGGCTGAGGCAGAAGGATGGCAAGTTTGAGGCCAGCCTGAGCAACTTAATGAGTGAGGTTGGTTTTGCTTTAACATGAAAAGTAAAAATGGTTGGGAATTTGGCTTAGTTCCCTCTCTAGTACTGTTATCCCTTCAGAAAAAAAGAAGAAGAAACTAAACAACTCACCATTCCCTTCTTGGATTTGTTTATGAGAATCTGAGGGAGATACTCTGTTATTCCACCATCAACCACCTCTTCCAATCCCATCTTGTGAATCTAAAGAAGCACTGGCCAGAATTGTCATCACCCTGATGTAGACAGGACCTCACATGGCCCAGACTGGGTCTCACTGGGGCTGGACCTGTGGGTGGACTGAGAAACACAGTCTGGGAGAGAGAGGCTGACTGCACTATAATGGATAGCTTCCCTCTCAAATCCTCAGGATTTGCTCCCACGAGGGACATTATTATGAGACTCTGAGTTTCTCAGTGTCTAGTACATGTAAATGCTTCTCCCTCGGTCTAGACTTCAAGGCCTCTTCATGGCCAGGCTGTGGGGGAGGTGCAAGGGCTGTCTCTGTGACAGGACAGTGGAGCAGTGGTCAGCTTTATTGTTGCATCTCCTGCCCTCTGGGTTTTACGTGCTTGTCAATTCCTCAGTAGCACATCCCTGAATGTTACTTATCGCTTAATGAAAGAACAGATTGCTCTGCCTAGCATCTAATAGTTGTTAATATCCTACTAACATTAGCTTATGCAATATTGAGCTGAGTTGTGAGGCTGACAAGCGCCTACGTGTGTGGAAATGTAATTATAGTGGATGCTTAATGATAAATCACCACAGTTTCTCTGTGCCTTAATAAACTGTCAAGTACTAACAAATAAACCAGAAGCAATTAAGGGAAGCAACAGGACCTTGGACCGAGGGACAGGAGTGATGGGAGAAATAGCACCTCTGCTCCCCAGAAGAACTGACAGCAACTGCTGCTCCGAAATGGAAGCTGAATCTGGTTGGCTGGACATCATCCTCTTTATTCCTCCACATGGAACATGACTTTGATTTCTGCAAGGAAAGTGCAGTATTTTAAACTTTGATAAAGTACTTCAGACAGTCAAGCAAAATTCTATGCATTATCTGGGTTCTCCCAGATAATCTGTTTAAAGAGGTTATTTATAAAACACTAACTTTTCATAGTTTTTGGTTTTGTTTCTTTTGGTTTGCTTTCCTTTGTTTTTTTTTCCCCCACTGCTAGAAATTAAACCAAATACTCTCACACTGATCCATATCCCTGGCCTATGCCCAGTATTTCATTTTATTTTCTTTATTTGAGAAGTCATTAAGGAGCCTAGACTAGTCTGGAACATGAAATCCTCCTGCATCAGCCTTCCCAAGTGCTGGGATTGCAGGGATGTGCATTATACCTCACTTGCATTTAGTTAGATGCAAAAGTAGGATATGAACTCCTCTTAGGTTTGCCCACATGGATGAACCTTATGACAAAATAGAAGGCATTATGTTCAAAGAAATAAACAAAGAGAGCACAGAATAATAAGGACCAGTCTCATTCCACCAGGGACTCTGAAAAAGGAGAGCTATAATTTGCTGGTAGTATAGAGATTCCCTGGGCCTGGAGAGCACAGCTGGACAGAGGAAGCAAAGAGCTCTGTGGTGGAGGGACACAATACTATATTTTTGTGACAGAGCAGGGCATATGTAAGTAACAATGCACAGACTGCCCATCGAAGGAGTTCTCTTAAATAAGAGGGATTCACAGTGACACAGCCATGGAAGCCGGCCCTGGAGCACATGCTGGGAAAATGGTCCTCAGCTGAAACATCCTTAGATCTAGACATCTGAGAGACTTACATGAAGAAATAGGAATCCTGGCGAGAGCACAGAATCAAAGTGCTGAAAGCCAGGTCTACACAGCCATCAGTTTTATGGAATCAGGCTACCTTAATCAAA